GCAGAAATGAAAAAGACAAGAGAAAGGAGGCAAGAAAACCACTTCCCTAAAACCACAAATGGAATGAAGGGTTCCAGGTACTTGGTGTCTCTTAAGAATTGAGTGATGCACAAGTTATGTAAAGCAAGCATATTTATTAAGGAAGAATAAGTTGAAAGTACATGCCACAATGCGGAGGAAGGCCTGCATAGAAGTTCCAAGGCACTGAGGAGTGTATCTAGGAAAACTGAAGGTAGCTTTGGGCTGAGGGGAGAGTCAGAGGGTCTCCTTCACGTAGGAGGGGCCTTGCTGACGGACACAAAATCTTGAGTGAGATTGTGGCTACAGAACAGCTTCTCAGCTGTGTGTGTCCATTCCCACATGCGCTGTTACATTAATGATAACCTGGAACCTTACCTGGGGAGCTTCCCCAAGAGGTTGCCTAAGAACAGCCAAGCGCCGTTTATGCGTGTTTCAGTGTGTGTGTGTGTGTGTATGCAGGTCCTGGGGCTGGAGCTCAGGGATGGGCCCTGTCTGTGAGCTTTTTGTCTTTTCTTTTTGATTGGTTGTGGGGCTTGAACTCAGGCCTGTGTGGCTGTCCCTGAGCTTTTCTGTTCAAGGCTAGTGCTCTACCACTTGAGCCACAGCTCCACTTGAAGTTTTCTGGTGGTTATTTGGAGATAAAGAATCTCACAGACTTTTCTGTCCAGACTGGCTTCAAATCACGATCCTCTGATCTCAGATTTTTTTTTTTTTAACTCAAGGCTAGCACTCTACCCTCAGCTCCACTTCTGGCTCTTTGGTGGTTAATAGAAGAGTCTCACAGGCTCTACTGCCCAGGCTGGTTTTGAAATGCAGTCCTCAGAGCTCAGTTTCCTGAGTAGCTGGAATTACAAGCAGCAGCCAGCAGCGCCCGGCAATATGTATATGCCACTGAAGGAACTTTTTATTCAGGGAAAACCTTTTCCTTTATCAGAATATTTGGATGGCAAAATTATTCACCTAAAAAAGGGTGAAGGTGAATTCCTGCTTGTGCTTGAGCAACAGGTGCGAATCCTGGCTTTGGAATCAGGAATAGGTCTCATGTCATCTACTAGCTCTATCCTCCTTTCCTGTCTTGTAGTCTGCACTAACCACATGCACAGCCGTAGCAGAAGACTGGCAGAAGTATGAACAGCCAAGTCCAGGGTAGCCATATGTAGCTACAACCTCCAAAAATCAAGCCAGACATACAGCTAATGTCTCTGTGTCCAAAGACAGGACCGCAAGCTGGAAATCAAAACGGCTGCTGCAGTAGCCATTGGAAAGGTAGATTTTGCGATAGTAAGTCTGTCGGTGACTGGGCCTGACTTAGGATTATAGGTTTTAAGAAGCTGAATGCCAGCACCTACATGGCCACTGTCGATTTGAAGCAGTGAGCCTTTAGTTTACAAGAGGATCTCTTAACCTTCCGGAGATTCCACATCTACCCCATTCCCATGCCCAGGAGTTCTGGGTAGTCCAGCTACATACATGCACATTCAAGATTCTGGGTAATCGAGTCCAGAGCTCTGCCCACACAGTCCTCACCCAGGAGGCTTCCAGGGTCTTCCAAGGCCTCTGGGCAATATTCTTCCATTTTAATTTGAGCCCTCGTGCATGTTGCACCACCTCACACTAATGCACCCGCACACCGGCGCAGTAAGACGTGAAGTCCCCAGGTACCACCTGGTAGCACTGCTGGGGTTTCATTTTGATTTTTTTGCTAAGTTTTTATTTTATTCCAAGGACTTTGCTCCATACAAAATGTCATTGTAGAAACAATATCAGAATCCAAAGTTCAGCTTGTAAATACTACTCAGGCAGCAAACTAATTCAATCGCATGAATTTGTTTGTTTGTTTGTTTTTAAGTAAGGTCCAGTTGTGTTGCATGACTGGAGTTCTCTTTCTTCCTCTCTCTCTCTCTCTCTCTCTCTAACACTGTTGTTAAATATAAAGTTTTGCAACAAACCTTCAATTTATATCAAATATAATTAAAAATTAACAAATGAATACATTGTATCAAAAGGTACGAAGATATACATTTCATGCACATACTTATATAATGTGTGTATATATATATGTATATATTTTACATGCACACATAACTGTTCAAACTACAGCCACTGCTTGACAGATTCCAGATGCAGACAGCTGGTTGATGCAATTCAAATTTGGCAACTCACTATGAGATTTCAGGGGAAACAGACAATAGTTTGAGAAGAGACAGTACAGAAACAAATCCAAAGGCAGGAAAACAAAGCATAATGTCTCCTCCCCCCTCCCCCACAGCTACCACCACTGCAATTTTCACTTATGTCAATGCTGAGAAGAATCCAGACAAGCCAGCTACAGGTATTCTCAACCTGTGACGGCCTAAGCAGACAGCTATGGTTCTATATGGAATGTATGCATTTGACACCCAGGAGAACACGGGCCGGGGCAGGAAGAGAGACAAAACATTAAGATCAAAATGCACAGCCTCCTACTTTGCAACATGGGCAGTCACATGCACAGTCTTAGGTTCCTTTAATTTTACCCTATTGGAATAAAATACTCTGTTAGCTTTAAAGTTTCAGAGTGTTGTGCCTTCACATAAGGAAATTCTATAAAAAGGTTTGGTCACAATCATGCTGAAACCCTAGACCAAGTGGTAGTCTTGTGTGTTTTGTGTCATTTGTTGCATAGCCCTATGGTTGACAAGATCCATTCACTAAACACACTTCCACATACACCCACATTCTATAAACACACACACACACACACACACACACAGAGCTTTTGTGAGGAGCGTGGGGTAGAAGTCAACAATCACACAGAGACATCATCTGAAATTTCAAAACACAGAGGACACACCAATGGACGTGTCTGCATGCGCCTTTCCTCCGGCAGGACTCCACCCTCTGGGCACACTGCACACCATCCTGAGAATGGGTTTTCCCTTTGGAGAGTGGTCATGAGGTGAGGTTTTATTTGCTGCCTACCCAGGCCTGGGAGACAGAAACTGTGCCAGGCTCTAAGATGCCCAACTTTAGCCCAGAAGCCATTTCCTCTGCCAGTCACTAGGACTTTAGCTGGGGTTCCTTTTTTCCATGATCCACATCCCCAGCTGCTGTCTTTTACCCAACTAGCATTTTGCTCACTTCAGCATTTAGTGAAACTGAATTCACACACAACAGAGATCATGCCCTACTTAGCAGGCATCCCATCCCTGAGAATCAGTAGAGAACAGACTGAAAGTGCCACACACAGGCACAGACCTCGCTGCTCTGTGGCTTCCCCAGAATCGCCCTCACGGGAGGACAGAGGGCACAGCCACTCGCTTACAACTGTGCTGTGCTGCTGGATGCTAGCCGGTGCTCACAGGCTGCAGCTCTCGACTAAGTTCACAAGGCCTCCACCCTCATAGATGCTCAGGAGCCAGAGGTCAGGCACTGTGTCAAGCAGCAGGAACTGCGATCAACAAGGGACCCACCTGGGGGGGGGGCGGTCCACACAGCAGTATCTCCCACAAGTCAAATGCAACCAAGAGACCTTCCTACAGGTTGATTCTGAAATTTTATGTGAACATTTCTTTCCCCGTTTTTCTTATTTTATCTTTTTCTAGATCAAGTATATAGAAACGACAAAGAGTGAAAGATGTTGTGATTAAAAACCAGAATCAAGCACAAGAACATTCTCCAGATTTGGTCCCTGTTGGAGCAGCAAGTGTTGGGAAAGACAGAGCCTCAAATGCATTGATTTCTATGTACATTTGCTGTTCGGTGCTAAGAGCAACCATGGACACGTGATCACTGTGATGCTTTCAGGTACCACGAGGCCACCGCTGGGCCCCTTCCTTGCTTCCAGGCACACCTTGCTCTCTGTACTACACATCTGGATCAATGCTGTGTCCCATGAGACTCAAACCACCAACTAAAACGTTGAAGCACCCAGCCCAGACGCTGGTGGCCATGATATGGGATATGAGCTCACTGGGTCTGCCTCAACTCAGCCACCACCTGCTTAGGATCTGATGGGTGGCGTGAGACCCAGGAAGGCAGCACACAGGGGGATAGAGAGTCATATCCCTCTAAGAAAGGGTTTTATTAGTCCATCCAATGTAAAAGAAGAGGGAGGGAAGAGGAGAGGAGTAGAGCAGGAGCCTCCACCATGGAGGCCACGAGGCAAGATACCTCCTCCCAGGGCTGCAGCCCCAGAGCCCAGCATGGATGATAAAACTCATCAACTGGAGCCCATGCCCGCGGTGAGCACGTGTGTGGCAGTCACGGTGCAGCTAGCACCAGTGGTCTTGGTCAGGGTGGTGGTAGCTGTGCCGTGCCCGGACACCGGTGCTGAGTCCCAAAGTGCAGTGGTAGCCATTGGGCACACGGCGGAGAGGGTGGGGCTGGGAGGTCAGGGAGGACACGTAGGAAGTCCTCGAGGAACGGCCTGAGTTGGTAGCCACCGCCTCCTCGAAGGTGAGCGTGTCCTCAGGCAGAGTGTGGGCAGAGGCCTCGCTGTCCAGACGCTGGCCCAGGTAAGGGTCTGAGCTGATGCGAGAGCCCGGAGCCAAGGGCTGGCTCAGGGGCTCTCTCTGGAGCAAGGCGTTGTGTTCAGAAAGGCCGCGGCTGAGCCGGCCTGGGGAGAAGGCTGGGAGGCCACTCTGAGCCCCAGCAAAGTGGACCGGCGAGGAGTTGGCCGTCTTGTAGGTGATGCTGGGGCGAGGGGTCAAAGGGGTTTGTGGGAGCTGCCTCCGCCCACCTCGACCCGGAGTGCTAGCACCAGATGTTGACAGTGAAGGGCTCCCATTAACTGGGCCACTGCCCTATGTGAAAAGGGAACAGAAGATGAAGAGGAAATAAAACATCAAACCGAATACCACACAGAGCACACAGGACACGGGGGGCATTCGTCCTAAGGGAGAAGCTGGGGGGTGAGAGGCAGGGCAATGGCTGGCACGGGGGCAAAGGAAAAAGCAGCTCAAAGGCCAGACGCCCAGTCAGGAAAGGAATAAGAGTGTACAAGACCATGGTGAGGCTTCCGGCAGCCATCCGGGGGACGTAGCAGCCGGGCAGGGAGGCTGTCTGGGCTGGGGCGCAAGGGGAAGCAGCTGCTTAGACTCAGGCCGAAGGGGCGCGGGAGGCCTGGAGGAAGAGAGCTGACTCGGGCCCAGCCTGGTTACCTGTGCGGGGGGGCCTGTGCCCAGCCCTGCTGTTGGAGATGTGGGGTGGCTGCTGAGGGAGGGCTTGGGCTGTGGAGGCTCCCGACTCCCAAAGCGGTCACAGGAGTAGAAACGCTGCTTTTCTGAAGAAGAAGATGAAGGCTGTCTGCGCTCCTGGGACCTGCCCCGCTCCTGCTTCCGCTCCCGCTCCCGCCGGCAGCCTGTAGGTCCTTCTCCTGCAGGCAGGCCTGGCCCGGCAGCGCTGTTTGGTGCTGGCCAGGGAAGAGAAGTCAACTCAGCCACAGCCAGTGCAGGAAAGAGACCCCAGTTACAGACCCACCGGCTACAGACCCTCGCAGTTATAGACCCACTGGGTCCCTTGAGTACCAGGGAAGACTTCACAGTGCTGGAGGGGCAGGGAGGAGGCAGCCTGGACCCAGGCCTAGGACCATTCTTTCTGCTCTGGGTAGGTTTGAGGGTCATGGGCTCATGAGCCAAGGAAGATGCCTAGATCCCCCACCACAGCCCTAACTCAAGGCATAACCCCTCAGGAAGCTCCCCGGGCCCTCCACACGCACCGCCCTCTATGTCCACAGAGAGGCTAGGCCCCTTTTCCAGGGACCTCTGTTTCTTGTCCCTGCGACGGTGGCAGCGGTGGTGGTGATGATGTGTTGCCTGGCTGGGGGGAGGACGGTCCAGGGCAGCATTGCAGAGGTGAACCCCATGGGGGCGCTGGGCCAGTGTGGAGATGGAGCGCTTCATAGGGCTGGCATCAGGGGCAGGCTGTGGACAAAAGGAAAGGACCAGCGTAGGTCTGAGGAACCATCAAGGAGGAGGGGAAGGCAATCATGAAGGTTCACAGAGCAGGGTAGGACCATTAAAGAAATCAGGTGTGGGCCACAAGTCCCCAGCTGGGACATCGCCCCTGAGAAGGCCTGCTGGGGGCCGGCTGCCAACCCTGTGCGGAGGACCCCAGCCTGCCAGGAAGGGCTGCCTGCCTGCCTGGGGAAAGCCGGGAGGACCTACAACTTTCCAGAGAGCCTTGAGCTCTCTGAGGGGCTGACCCGTGATGCTGCCCTGTGACAGGTGTCTGTGGAGCTCAGTCACCTGCGTGTCGAGGAGGCATGTCACAGGAAGCTGCCCGGTCTGTGGCCACCAGCCTGCAGCACCAAGGCAGGTGCCATGGGGCAGAGGCCACAAGGCTGGAAGTAGGGAAAAAGCAAAAGACAAGAAGGAAGGACATTGAGGAGAGGTCAAGCATGGAAGGCCACAGCCATGAAAACAGGGATACTGCAAAGTAGGGAATAGAAGATAAGGAGGAGAATAAAGTGTATCCTAAATGTCCACAACCCGAAGGCATAAGGAAGAAGTGGGCACAAAGCGGAGGGAAAATAAACAGGCTCCAGCAGGCCACGAGCTCCCAGGGCCAAGGCTGGCCTGCAGCACCTCTGCGGCAGCAGAAGTGGTGGGGGGGGCCCAGAGCACACCCAGTGACCTAGGGAAGGGGTTTATTCTCAAGTGCTTTTAGACCTCATTCTTAGTCAAACATATCTCAGAAGAAGAACAACTTCATGGGGTCCAGGGAAGGAAAGGAAACCCAGAGACAGTGACCAGACAAGGAGGGTAAAACCACAGCCTCAAAGAGCAGAAGGTGGACTAAGGCATGGTTCACAGAGTCGAATCCTAGGGAAAGAAGTGACGGGGACAGCAGAGCTGTGGGGACATAGCTGAGGAACAACAGAGCTGGGAGACCAAAGAGCAAGGGAACGGCAGTGCCGACAACACACGCTGGGAACACTAGAATTGAATGGGCCAGAGCTAAGAGGTCATAGAACTAAAGAAAAGAAAGCAGAGCTGTGAATGAAGAACCTTGGGAATCAAGTCCCTGTGTGGTCCTCCAGATGGCTGAGAACACAAATGCTCACCCATGTCCCAAGAGCCTGCAGAGGCAGATGGTGTCTAGGCTGCACTGGCTGCCCGCAGGGCCTCCGGCCAGGGAGTCTGCCCAGGGGGTGCCCACTTCTCCACGCTCCCGAGTCTCCTCACTCAGGATGTACATGTCATGCTGCCAACCCCTTCCCCATGCCTTGACCCTTTTAAGCCTACCCACCTGCGTTTCTGCTGCCAGGCGGGGCATGGAAGCGGCTCGGCCTTGGCTCTCCAGCCCAGGTTGGGGCTCCCCATCAGGGCCCCTCAGCGCCATATTCTGCATCTGGACATCCACAGCCTAGAGGATAACAGCCTTCTAGTCACACCGCACAGAACCACCCAGCCTCACCCAGCCTCGGAACCCAACCCCTCCTGACACTCACTCCTCTAGGGAGGACTTACCAGTGCTCCTGCCTGACCCACAGGAATCTCTGCTGAGTGGCCACGCTCCAGGGGGGCCCTGGCCTCATAGAGTGTGTCCTGGGTCCTCTGAGTGCCCCAGGACAAGGACTCCTTGATGCCAGTCTCTTGGGTTTGTCTAGGAGAGAGAGGGATAGTCTACAAGGTCAGAGACCCAAGCTGCAGAATGCCCTGCTGGGAATCCATGCTGCCCACCCTCTTATCAAGCACAGGAGTCCCAGTATGGATGACATATACTGGGCCCAAGCCGAGGCACATCAAAGGGCATGCTCCCAGTGTGCGTCTTGGGTGGGCACAACTCCCAAGGGAGAGAGCCCTCAAAGGGAAGGGCTGTCCTGTTGCTTCCTGGTCTGAGGACAGCTGCCACATTCCTCAACCTTTCCAAGTTTCATTTGTGAAATGGGTACTGGGATCAACCCTGTCACATAAGACTATGGTGAAAGGGAAAAGATCATGCAGTAAGCGTGGATGAATGGGCAATCGCTGAGAAGACCCTGCTTTGCTGACATATAGGAGACACTGACTGTGGGGTCCTTCTGCATTTCTTTCCCAGGGCTTCCAGGAGGAGCTGCAGAATCCTCGTTACCACCCTGACCCGCACTCTTCCCATATCTGCTCTGGTGTCAGGCCACACACACACTACCTTCCTGTCCCCTGGCTATGCCTACAGATGGTGATCAGTCTTGTCCCAAGCATTACTGCCTCTGCCAGTTAGCTGATTCACAATGACTGCACCTGTATTCGCACAGGTTTAGTAGCACTGATCGTATATACTCAGCTTAGCATGAGGCCCATCAGCCTGAGCAGTCCACACTTCTGACCATGGTGGTGTGTGCAGAGGTGGAAGGGCAGCCCCATCTCTGCTGGGCATTCTGAGAAGAATCAATCTTTGTCTTCCCAAACTGCTGCATGTATCCATGTATCTCCCTTTAATGTTCTGTGTGGGGAGGGCAAGGCTGGCACTAACAAGACAGCCGGGCTAGGCCCTGCAGTGTGGCCAGTCCTTCTAAGATCAGGGAGATTAGATCTCCACTGTGACCAGGTGTTCTCTAACCTCTGATGGAAGAGTTATGGCTTTTTACAGAAACTAAAATCAGAGATGTAACCAAACCCATTTGCCTCATGAAAGCCTGCTTCAGCTGGGTGCCGGTGGCTCACACCTGTAATCTTAGCTACTCAGGAGGCTGAGATCTCAGGATCACATTTCAAAGCCAGCCCAGGCAGGAAAGTCCGTGAAACTCTTATCTCCAATAGACTGCTCAGAAAACTGGAAGTGGCTCATGGCTCAAGTGGTAGAGCACTTGCCTTGAGCTGAAGAGCTGAGGGACAGAGCCTAGGCCCAGAGTTCAAGCTCCATGACCAAAAAAATAAAAAAATCAAAAGCCTGATTCAGATCAATAAAGAGACACCATACATTCTCTCCAACACAAACAAATACTGGCACACAATTGTCTCACATACACAAACCTCACAATCAAACACACATTCACTGGAATTGAGGGTGGTTTGGGGCTCTAAGAGACCAGCTTTAAGCAGGGTTGCCCCAATTGGGAAAACGTTTGGGTTCTCCTTTGTATTGTCACTGTCCTCAACTTGAACCTGGACCTGCTTATGCAATACTCCAGATGATAGGTGCTGCAGGAGCAGAGACCCAAACAGAGTCTGAGTCTTGGGTGTCTGCCATTTTGGGACCTTCATAAGGTGGTGATCCCCTGAAACAAACTGATAGGGAAAGGCCTTTCTATGTCCCGTCCAGGAGCCACAGCTGTCAGGGAAAGCTGAAAGGGCCCTCCTTGTGTGGGGCCAACCCTACCCAGGACCTAGCTACCACCCTCAGTGAGAAAGATAATCACTGTTTATATTTCTGGAGTTTGGGTGGCTCTTTGCCAAGCAATATTGTGCCACGAGTTAAGTAAAACAAAAGGACCTCACAAATTTGTCTAAGAAATGCAACAGCCTCAAAAATCAATACCAAAATGGGAAAATCTGGAGGAAAATGTCTCTGACAGAAGAGTGGACTGTAAACAAGCCTTGAGCAAAAATGGTGAGGGCTCAAGATGGGAACACCACCAGCTACTGACTGAGCAAAGCTGAGACAGGTGCACACAGCAGGTGTGTCTCAGGGGTGGCACAGCTGTCTTTGCTGACTTACTACCACCAACCCGCTTGACATTATAAAAGCTACTCTCCAAGTCCACCCAAGCAACCTGGTCCCCTCACAATTCTCACTAGCTCCCAGGCATCACAGTGAACATCGGGATAGCCCATAAGTGAGTTAGGTACTGGCGCCATGTGGGGCCAGCCCCTGGCACTGGATGGGACTGGGGACCCTACCCTCAGAGGGCTCGACAGCCTTCGGGCACCCCTGCGTTTTAGCTACAGGCCCAAAGGCAGTGAGAGCCGGCCAGGTTGTGAACGTGGACATCTTATATCCACTGACTTTGGGTCCCGCCCCGCTGGCCACCGTACCCAGCACTCACATAGCACCGCCATTGCTGAGGGAAGTGGCACTCTTCTGCCGAAGGAAAACCCGAGCTCCTCGGAGCACAGCCGGCTGTGCCTGCTCCAGGGTGGCCTTCAGAGGGTGGAACAGGGACACAGGGCCCGTCTGCAACAGGTATATGAAGGGGAATAGTTCTAAGGCCGGGGGCCAGCCCCTGATAGACCCAAAGTACGCCCTTGGCACAGCACAAGTGGCAGAGGCCAACGTCTAGTGCCGAGCGGGGGCCCCTTGCCATTCCTGCAATATCATGTCTCCCCTAGAGTAGGCAGGGCGGGGACCCACACAGCATCTCTTCCTTGTGACTTCATGAAAGCTTTCACCTTTCAGAGCCTCAGTTTCCCTACCTACGATCAGGCTCAGATTGATCACAGGTGGCAAAGCCATTCATCTCAGCCTTAGCTCTGAGCTCCAGGTTGAGTAGGCTGTGACTCCAGGCTGTGGGAGCTGCAGCTGACTGGGTCTTCCCAGGGATAGGGTGTAGAACACCACCAGGTTGTGGAATTGTCCACAGGGATATGTAAACAGCCCTGCAAGTTCTGCGCATCTACAAATTTTCAAGACAGAGCCGTCATGTGGTCACTGAAGACACAGGTGAGATGGTGCCAGTCACGGGCAGTGTGACAAGGACATCAAGCTCTTGATGCTGGTCTCTTTGCTTTCTGCTTGTATGCAGGGACAACAGATTCTTCTCAGAGATTTCTCAACATCTTCCTCCATCCCCCAAAGAAAGTGCAACATCTCCCAGAGTCTCTTCTGCCATGAAAATCAGCTCTCCAGTGCTCCCTGGCGTCATCAGGCAAGGGGCTGACAGAGAGTGGTCTGGATAGACCCGGGAAGGAGGTGGGCCTCCCACCCCTGCCCACCAAGACCAGGTACCTGGGATAGGCCTCCGGGAGCTTGGTGAATCTGGTCTCTGGTGGTTTTGTTCTGTTTGTAGAAATCGAATATCATCAGAGCTGCGTAGACTTTCCCCACTGTCATCTCGTCAGCTGGAGAGGAGAGCAGGCAGAGAGGAGAGGGGAGGGGAGGGGAGAGGAGGGAAGGGGAGAGAAGGAGGCAGAGAGGACCCAGAGTACAGGAAAGGAAAGCAGGCAGAGAGGACCCAGAGGAGAGGAGAGGAGGGGAGAAGAGAGGAGGGGAGGGGAGGGGAGAAGAAGAGAGGAGAAAAGAGGACAGGAGAGGAGAAGAGACGGGAGGGGAGGGGAGGAGAGGAGAAGAGATGAGAGGAAAGGAGAAGAGAGGAGAGGAGAGGGGAGAGGGGGGAGGGAAGAAGATAGGAGGGGAGAAGACAGAAGAGGAGTGGGGAAAAGAAGACAGGAGAGGAGAGAAGGGAGGGGAGAAGAGGAGAGAAGAGAGGAGAGGGGAGGGAAGAAGGGGAGAGGAGAGAAAAGGGGAGGAGAG